GCTGTGTAACAGATCACCCTGAAATCTAGAAATTGGAACAATAAACATTTATTATCTCACAGTTTCTGGGGGTTGAGTATGTCTGAGAGCCAGTTGCCTGGCTTGCCCATGCGCACAGTTTCCAGAGAGGTGGACGTTAGCAGGGGTTGAATTCATCTGCTGCTTAACAAGGGCCATGGGTCCCTTTGAACTCATTCAGGTGGCTGCTGTGGACAAGAGGCTTCAGATTTTCACTCTGGCGAACTATTTCTGGCTTCCTTCTGAAAGGATAGCTCCTCCTTCTGTCTCTAGGGCAATGATTCTCAGCCCGTGGGTTGTGAACCCTTTTGGGGGTCACATATCGGATATTTATGTTACAATTCATAACAGTGGCAAAATTGCAGTTATGAAGCAGCAATGAAAATATTTTTGTGTTGGGGGTGGTCACCACAACGTGGGGAACTGGATTAGATCATTGCAGCATTGGAAGGATGAGAACCACGCTCCAGGGCTTCTGAAAGCAGGAGAGAGGGGAGAGAGAGAGAGAGAGAGAGAGAGAGAGAGAGAGAGAGAGAGAGAGAGAGAGAAAGAGAACAGTTCTAGACTGCCGGGGTTGATACCAACTAGTACATCACAGACACTCTGCTTTCTGTCATATGGGTGACACCGCACAACCTTGGCACTGTATAAGAGAGGGACCATGGAGGGAAGTTTAGAGATAGCCAACAACAGAGCACAGGACTGGAACACAACAAAGAAGACTCCATAATGAACACCAAATTTTCAGATAAGACTAAATACAAAACAGAAAAGGACAGTGTGATGGATGCCATTTTCCAGAACAATGGGGGGATTCCATATGCTAATGAGTCTAAAAAGGGGAGGAGCCAAATGAACACATGGTTCAGCTACTGGGCTTGTGCTACATTCCCACTTTCTTCTACTGACACCCAGCTGAGGGTACCGAAAATAAAACCCAAGGAAGGATATGAAATATCAAGGGGTCATCTACCTCAGCCCAGACACTACCCCTGGGACATCTGAGTCTGAGTTATGCCCGTGATCTTCCCACTACTTTCCGGAGGCTTCTCAAGCCCAGTGGCTAATGAGTAGCACATACATTTCATCTTCTCCTCACTCCTCAAGATCCCCAGAGCCATTCCTAACATCTGGAAATTCTGTGCCCCTGTCAGTGATATGCAATTTATGTCCATCCCATATGGCTGAGATGTCTGAAAAACACCCTTGTATAGTAACAAACAGAAGTCCCAGACGAAGCCACAAGGGAAACCCAACCTGAAGGCAGGAGCATTATTCCTGTGGACCACCTCCAGAGAAGATGTGAATCCCCACAGAATCAACTTCCAGCTCCTCAATTCTAGGAGCAGAGATGCACCCGATGCTGATTTTAGACAAAATCTTTCTGAATCATCTCCACTGTTCTGGAAAGAGTTCCCCCTCACAAGGCAGCTTCATGATAAAGCATCTATAAATCAAATGCTGAGAAAGCAGCCCAGGGTCTGAGCCAGAGGCCTGACTAGACTCAGTGTCATCTCGCTTCCTTCCTTTGTGACGTTGAATAAGTTCGCCTAGTCTGACACAAATCTGAGGGTAAGAATGGGGTTTCATATGTTTGCTGCACTGACTTTGGAATGCAGGTGCATTGTGTAAGCGTCAGCTCTCACAATGAAAACAAACACTGCTGCTACTTTCACCAGCCCTGGAGCCAGGACAGCTTTTTGCCAAGTGCTTAGATTACAACACAAATGATTTTAAGATCTGTAACCAGGATTTTACTTATTCATGGCTCAACTTATTTGACCATGAATTCACCACACCGCTTTTCTTCCTGACCTGGCATCCAGGGGCATTGACAGAACAGGAGAGAAGTTAGACATAAGACAGAAATCCTCAGATCTCTTCCTTGGAATATTTCAGGAGCCCTGAATATAGCGCCTTATGGAAGTCCTCCCAGCATTCACCTGTGAGGAAACAGACACTTAGAATCACAGATTTCTCACTCCGAGTGATCCAGAGACTTCGATTTGTCCACACATCCTTACCCTAGGATTCGTATCCGCTTCAGGCCATTCATCGCTTCCCACAATGCCTACCTACTCCTGGGTGATCAGTTGCTAGGACGAATTTCACTGCTCAAAGCTCATGGCTCTCCATTTCAACATCCATCCACTGTACTACACAGGACAAAACAAAAATTGGCTTTGGACTTTTTTGTGTGTGTGTACATGATTCCACTGTCCTGAGCAGTGGGGTCCCTACCTGGCACACTCTACATGGCCCCCTACTGTAAAAAGACTCCCTGTCACCTGGAGACTTTTCCGGGCTCTACACAGATTCCTGAATCCTTCTCCACTTCCGGCTCACTGCCTTCCTTCTGTCCTTCAGTCCTCTGCCTCTCGATAGGCTGGCAAAAGTGAAACTGCGGGGCCTTCCTTCCGCTAAGTGCTCTATTTTCTGCTGGGTACATTAGTGATGCCGGGTCAGATGAGCATGTCTAGGGCCTCACTTCCTTCTCCTCTAAGTCCTATTTTAGGGTCTAGCCACTGCTTCCCAGCAGTCTTTTCTCTAAACTGTAAGATATCTGGGGAACTTTGCCAGGACAGACTTCTCTCTGCCCCGGAACTCTATAAATGGAGTTAATGGTCCTATGCCCACTTCGTGGTTTCTTCTAAAGGGGCTCACACTGGGATTCCTCTTCCATCTGCTTCTGAAATGGACTCTGCCCTCCTACATCATCAGCTCAATGTCATTTTCCAGATCTCTGTAAAGGGCAGCTTGGTGAAACAGGGCACCCCTGGGTTTTGAGGAATGCCCTAACTTTATAATCTTTAGTTTTCTACCTGCACCACTGCGAGCTTAGAGCACAGAGAAAATCCTGATTAGGAAAGAAACTAGGAATTGAGCCCATTCAGACACAATCCGTTCTGTCAGGCAAAGTACATTCTGCTGTGACCTGAATCCTCCTGTGTGACCCCTTGAAGCCTACTGTAATGATATGACCAAGCATATCTGGAAGGTTTAGCAGCTCCCAAAGTCGGCTCACTGTTGCTTGTTGTCTCACGAGACAGACCCTCCCCCCACCCCAGCCACTCCTCATCCTGACTAGGAGATCCATAGAGACATAGCTCAGCCTGTCCTTAAACACCTCATTAGAAGTAAGGTGGACTTCCCACAGAAGCATGTGTCCCCTCTGGGCTGTTGGCCCAAAACTTGCTCATTCCCAAAGATTTGACTGGGGAAGGGAAGCCATGGCCATGTCTTCTGGAGTCCATGTCTTCTGAGCATTTGAACACAGGGGTATGAGACACAAAGAAAATAAGCCACTATGGCTCAGGAAAGGCAAGTGACAGCTATGGAGTGATGGGATCTTCCCAGTCTACTCAGAAAGGGCTCTTGAAGAAGGCTGTAAGCCACAGAGCTACTGTGGCCCAGGCCCAGCTCCTTCCTCAGATCAACTCAGTGTGTACCACAGAAACACCCTAACATGCATTTAGCACAGGCACTGGGGGTGCTGGCTGCCCAGACATGCCGCATTTCAGGAAGGTTAAAATAGATAAAATTCAGCTAATAGACAAACAACCTGATAATACAATCTGTTCAGTGAAGCAAATAAGCCAAGTCATACTCCACAAGTGCTCTGCATCCTTCTCTCTCTCTCTCTCTCTCTCTCTCTCTCTCTCTCTGTGTGTCTGTGTCTGTGTGTGTCTGTGTGTGTGTGTTGCTCAAGATGGAACCCAGGGTCTCACACATGATAAGCACTGGATGATACATTTCTAACCTCATTTTAAGCATCATGTAAGCACAGAGGTTCTTTAAGCACATATAAGAGAGGTTGGGTTATGGAATACAAATTAATTGTCACACCATAACAACCTTAATAGTAAAATATGACCATTCATTAAACAGCAAAGAAAGACACAGCATTATGTGGAGGTTTCTGCTGCTATTAGTGTTGGCCAATTTGCCCGTTCATTTGGTTGCTGCCTTCTATCCCACATGATCAGACTAGGAAGAGATGTCAGAAAACACCTGATAGGAAAACCAAAACACAATACCATTTAATCCTCTAGATCAACTGTAAAGTAAACGCCAGCAAAGCCCATCTAGGGCCGGTCTCAGAGGCTGAGCACGTCAGGGGTTCTCAGCGCTCTTCTGTTTTGAGAACACCAGTACAGTAACTTTTCTTCTTTCTGCCACAGTTACTGAGGCTCCCAGACACCTCTGGGTTTCCTCAGGGTCACCCAGTAAATTGTTCACACAGCATGCCACATGATTTCCCACATCTCATATCCCAGATGCCTATAAGGAATAGAAGAAGGTCTCTGGGTGCCATGGTCTGAACTAGGAAGGTCAGAGTTCAAATCTACCGGATTTGGAAATCTTTTCAGTCCACCTATACACAGAAGGAAAGAGCCTGGAACTCATTTACAAAGTTGCTCCCACTGGAGATTTTAAAACACCTTTGTTCTTTCTGTCTCTATCTACTCTTCTCCCCCAGCCCAGATCTCTGCGTGCCCTGTCTTCTCTAGGACCCCAGCAGGTGTGAGGTGCGGGTGTGACTTTCTTGGCACAACCTCCCAAGGAAAGGCTTGGCCTCTAGCTCTCCTCTTCCCTCCTCCCAGCCAGAGACGGTTAATTGCCAGCTCCCGGCTGCCTCCTGCCCAACCCTAATCGGCATGATCTCAGGCAGCTGCACCGGAGCCGAAGCAGCTCCAGGCTAGGCCAGGGCCGTGTGGAGCAAGGAGAGCATTCTTCCAAGATAATGATTAAACTGAGCAGCGCTTGGCATAGGCTGCTAAGCTAAGGAGGGGGAAGCCCTATTCACACCTCAGCCAGGCTGTGGAGGCCAGAGCCAGTTCAGGGAGGCTGCGCCCAGTGGCCCAGGGGCCCCCCAGCCAGCCCCTGCAGCCTCCTGCTTGTGAGGAGCATCCAGAGCATCTGATCTACAGAAGAATCTTTGCAGCCTACCCTTCTGGGACTCTGTTCACACCCCTGGCACCATGAAGCTCCAGGTATTCTGGACTGGACTAGAGTATACCTGCCGGTTCTTGGGCATCACCACGGCTGCAGGTAAGCTCCTACCTCTCATCTGCCACCTCCTTGCTCAGAGGCACAAAGGGGAAGGCTACTAGAGAAACGGCTACTAGCCAAGACATGGTGGGCACATCTGGCCACATCTGCCCTTCAGTTTCTCTTTTGAGTCCCTCAGAAACCCTGAACTTTGGGAAAATGGCAGGTGCAGAGTGAGCCTTAGGGAGACAGAGAGGAGTGAGCCTCGGGTCTGGTGCTGATACTCGGTGGCAGCCCAGCCTCACAAGACCTTGAGAACCTTCGGCATCACTATCTTTGCAGTGAGCTCACACGTCTGCCCCTTGCCCTCTGAGGGTTTCAAGGATAGCTGTTTGAGGTGGAGACTAGAGGTGAAGGTATATAAGGCTGGAAAAATGTGAGAATCATACCATTATGTGGCTAATTAAAATGGTCAGCTAAGCTCACCTTGCTTTGTTCAGCAATAGTCTAGTCTTATGCAGAGAGAATCCCACTGTCAGGGCAGCTCTATCCTCAGGAGACCTGATAAGTATAAAGATGGCAAGCCCTCCCCACATCCTGCTGAAAAAATGCACTGTTAGAAACCAGCCTCTTTGGTATGAGCCATCCACAGGAGCATAGTGTGAGGCTTAGAGGACCAGAAATCACCTGAGCTGCTCAGCTGACTGGAATTTCTGAAAGCAAAGAATTGACCATAACCCTGAGCCCCACCAATGTAAAAGGGGCAGAGTCTATACCGAGGAACTGAATAGCAGTGTTCTTAGCTCTTAGCTCAGTACACCAAATCCTTTGGGGGAAGTGGGGGGAAATACACATTAAATTGTTCTTTGCATCTGGACAAAAGCTTTCTCAAGAGTCTCTCCCAACTGAAAGGCTCCTCTCCACTTCAAACCAAAGCAATGGGACCCAAGCCTCAGGTTTCTCATGCATGTACAACCTTGGTCTAGCCCTGTGGAGCTTTGAAGTGGTGCTTCCTGACCTCTGTGATGGATGGATCTGGCAGACACAGTGCTTAGCAAAACAGCATGTGAGTGGCGGTTCTTGGTAGATGCCCTTATGATAAACCCGTGGTCAGTAGGGATCCAGATCATTTCTGGGGTACTAGGTTGAGCTCATAGTCAACCAGCTATTGGGCTCTTCTGGCACCATGGCTATGAATCAGAGCAGACAAGGTCAAATTCCAGCCCTCCTGCTATGAGACAGGGCAAATGAACTCAGATTGGAGCCATGACCTTGCCACAAGGTCACACAAGAGATTGGAGTAGCAGGACCCTGGAATCTTGGTTCCTGGATTTATCCCAACAGCACCGAAGGAAGCTTTCCCTGAATCCTTAGGCAAAAGAGTTGGTCTGCTCAGACCTGTGTAGATAGGCTAGTGGAAAGGCAAGCTCCAGCTTCCTTCAGGACCCCAAGGCTATTTACATGTAGGCAATGATCACAGAGGCCCCCAAGGTGACCCTAAATATATCTCCGTGATGGATGAGCGTGTGAGTTACTGTTTACCACTGCTGGTCCAAGTCCACTGTGTTCCTTCTACACCATGTTTTAAATGCATTCTTTGCACCCTTTGGGCTACCAAGAGTCTTACAACTAGAACTCAGCCAGACTCCACCCAGGCCAACTACCTCCCTCCTGCCAGGAAGCTGCTTAAGGGGCACATATCTATCTATCTACCTAATGGATTAGTGGGTCTACCTCATCTCAACTAAGGACGACCTTTCACTCCACACCCCTCAGCATGTGTGCACACCAAGGCATATTGCACCTCTTAGCCACAACCACCAGCCTTCACGTCCGCTAAGAGGCTGCTGTTAATGCTGAAGATGAACCTTCTGCTTGGCTGTGATACAAGATCCAGGCTAAAAATAGACCACAGTTGCCTTCTAAAGGCCAAGCTTTCAAAGAATATCCCTTGGGCTCTTCAGAGTGCAGGGGCAAGTGGGAAGCTAAAGAGGGGCTCCAATGCTCTCTGGCAGATCTCAGGTTTCTCTTGACATCACTGGCCTTTGGGCCTCTGTCCAGCACACAAGATTTACAGATTCCTTGTTCCCTTAAGCATCTTGTTGAAATCCTCTGTTGAAAAGTCCAAGGCCCATTGTAGAGCATTGCTGCTACCGGGGAAATGAGACGAAACAGAGACTGGCACTATGCAGAAACCCAGGGCAGTGGGGCATAAGACATCTACATAGACAGCGTGAATTGTTCCAATGCTAAGCAGGGATGTGAACAAGGGCTTCCAGAACGTCACCTGCAGGGAATGTGCAGATCCTGGGAGGAGGCGGCCTTTGCCCCAGAAACTTCCTTTGTGGACCCTGGAAACAGGCTCAGGGCTGTCAGGTTCAGGTGCTCTCATGACACAACAGTTTTCTGTGCCCGTGGCTGCAGCAAGCCCTGCAGAGAGGGCTGCTCACTACACTGCTTCCTCCCACCTAACTCTATTCATGAAGTGTCTTGGTCATGGTTTCTATGCCTGCACAAATATCACAAACAAGAAGCAAGTTGGGGAGGAAAGGGTTTATTCAGCTTACATTTTCCACATTGCTGTTCATCACCAAAGGAAGTTAGGACTGGAACTCAAGCAGGTCAGGAAGCAGGAGCTGATGCAGAGGCCATGGATGGATGTTACTTACTGGCTTGCTTTCCCTGGCTTGTTCAGCTTGCTTTCTTATAGAACCCAAGACTACCAGCCCAGGGATGGCACCACTCACAATGTGCCCTCCCATTCTTGATCGCAAATTGAGAAAATGCCTTGCAGCTGGATCTCATGGAGGCATTTCCTCAAGGGAGGCTCCTTTCTCTGTGATAACTCCAGCTTGTGACAAGTTGACACACAAAACCAGCCAGTACATGAAGCATCATGGGTTTGCTGCCCTGCACAGAGCTCAAGCCCCCTATATGCTAAAGCAATGGTTCTCAACCTCTGGGTTGAGACCCCTTTAGGGGTCACACAATCCTTTCACAGAGTTAGCCTAAGAACATCAGAAATATTTACAATTCATAACAGTAGCAAAATTACAGTTAGGAAGTAGCAACAAAAATGTTGTGGTTGAGGGTCAGCACAGCAGGAGGAACTGTCTAAAAGGGTCACAGTGTCAGAAATGTTGAGAACCACTGCTCTAAGTGGTTTTTGGGACAGATGCTCCTGCCAACCCAGAGTGAACAACCCACAGGGGACAGACAGCACCTAGTCAGAGTATTCTCAAAATGAGCAAATCCTGTCCCTTGAAATAGTCATGTTGTTTCTTGCTCCTCTCTCTCTCTCTCTCTCTCTCTCTCTCTCTCTCTCTCTCTCTCTCTCTCTCTCACACACACACACACACACACACACACACACACACACACACGTACTTGCTCTCATCTCTACTTGATTCTTCCAGCCTCTGTTTAGTGGTAGCTGCCGGATAACATCTTTGTTGGTCTATGTTCTGTGCTACTTGTCTTCAATGCAAAACCACATTCCATCCTCTGTGCTATTCATTAAGGCCTCACTATGTTCAGAAGTGTAACAGTGTCCAAAGAGGGAAACTCAGGTGCATTTGGTAAATTGAAACACTCTATTCAAAGTCTGCCGCCAAGAAATCAGGGAGGCAGGGTACAACTGATGTCTATCTATTCTCGAGACTCCACTTTCAATCAGTGCCCTCTGCCTGAATCAGGATTAAAGTGTTATGCAGGAAATGGAATGAGAAAAGCCAGATGTCACTGCTCAGAAGAGGCACCAGACACCAGGTAGAGAAGCAGAAGAACTTATCCATATGACACACACAGGGGAGTAACCTCCCCAAAGCCCAGTTGACCATCCTCCGTCTCCTGAGATATAACTAAGCAGTACAGCATCATTCTTGACTTTCCTCTTCACTGACAGGTTTAAGTTTTACAAGGAGCTGCAATTCAAGATAAGGCACCATGGTTATTTCCCAACCAATTTTAGTCTTCTAACTCAAAGGGGCATATTTCTCTGTATTTTAATGAATCTAAGATGCTATATTTAAAAAAACCAAACAAACAAACAGAAAACCCAGAAAGTGATGCAGTCAGAGCACTCCATAGTCTACTCTTATGACTCAACCCTGGGCCAGTCCTGACTGTGCGCAGGCTCAGTCAGGGTGTGGGGCTGTGTTGAACATAGGCATGGCAGTATTGCAGCAAACATGTATACCAACCACATATTTGTGAAGCTGAAGACACTGGCATTTAAGATGTCTCTAAATAATCTGTATACATGACCATATGGTCGTCCCAGAGATCTCCAGCTGTTCCACTCTTGGGTCCTGTCTGCAAATGTTTCCAGAAAGAAGGCTCACAGTAGAACCTCCCATTTGTACGTCCAGAAGTACATAACCAACAGCATACTTATCCTTCCTGCTCCCAGAAATGCCTGAAGACTGTAGTGCTGAATTTAATGGGGAAATAAGGCTTTACTATCCAGTTGGGTTGTCTACCTAGGCACACAGTAACAATGCATGGCATCCTAAGGACTGGACATAGCACAATAACCAAAGGATTGAGGTAATGCCCAAGCAAAGCTGTTGTGGGCAACTTGCTTGTCAAACTAGCATCCTGTTTCTCTTAAATCAAGTGCTTGGAGTCCATCTGGGATCACTTACGGCTTGTTTTGTTTGTTTCTTTATTTTGTTAGGTCTCCTCAACCTGCTCTCTATTTAGTACCCATTGCCACATGTTAAAGAGTGGCGTTCCCTATCACATACCCTTCAAACACACGAATGACTTAAAAACATAGATCCAGGTGTTCTCATTTCTTTTTTCTTTTTTCTTTTTTTTTTCTTTTTGGCATTTTCATTTCTTATCTGGTATAACAGATGTGCGGTCTCATCCCCACCTTGGTCAAAGCCTTCAAAACAGTGCTTTCTACGTAACTGTCTAGGATCCTGCAGGCTAACTTCTTTTCTTCTAATTTTGTATATTCATTTAGTTTTATTGTATGATCATTTTGCCTTACATGTATGTCTGCTCACCACACGTGTGCCTGGTCCCTGTGGAGTTCAGAAAAGGCTATCATA